CTATGCCTGCTGGTTCACACCAGCACGACTTATAACTACCCATGAATCTAAAAGTACCCCTGGTGTCTGTACGACAGATACACCCCACAGCCCAAGTCCCAATCGATTAATCCACTGGAGCCCTAAACCCCGAGAGCCTAAACACAGATGAATGCAACCCCGACAATCCCCCCAAAAGGCCTAAACAAAACCCTAAAGAGCCTAAACCCATCTAAACCCCCAAAAGGCTTAAACAGTCGCCCCTAAAAGCATAAACGCTGACGAATGAAGCCCCTACCCTTCCCCTCTCCCTCACCACCTCAAGCAAAAATGCTCTAAAGTCTCCCCCACAAACCCCAAATGCTAAACCCTAAACCCTGAACCCCTTACAAAAACCTGAGCCCCCAACAGCCTTCGAGTCCCCAGGCACGATGAGACAAAAGTCGGAGTCCGAGTACATCGCGCAGCACTTCAACAACGATTGGATCCTCTGCTGCGCACGAACTGTCAAAACCCTAAACCCCAAACCCTAAACCCTGAACCCTGAACCCTGAACCCTGAACCTTAAACTCTAAACCCTACACCCCAAACCCTGAAACCTGAACCCTAAACCCTGAACCCTGAACCCTAAACTCTATACCGGATCCTCTGCTGCGAACGAGCTGTCAGGTTTTTTGGTGCTGGATTTCTGGGTTTTAGGGTTTTGGTTTTTGTAAGTAGGGTTTGGGATTTAGTTTTTAGGGTTTAGGGTTAATTTGGTTTTAGGTTTCTTGTTGATTATAGGGTTTGGGATTTGGGTTTTGTTTTAGGGTTAGATTTTAGGGTTCTGGTTTGTATAGGGTTTAGGAGTTTAGGATTTAAGTTTTAGGGTTTAGGGTTTTCGGTTTTTATAGGAATTAGCATTTAGGCTGCAGGGTTTAGGGTCAGGTTTAGGGTTTTGGTTTAAAGAAGGTTTAGGGTTTAACTTTTAGCGTTTGGGGTTAGGTTTCTAGGGTTCTGCGTTTCGGTTTAGGTTGTAGGGTTTAGGGCATTAGGGTTTGTATGGTCTAGGGTCGAGGGTCTTTGGGTTTGGGTTACGGGGAGGGCACTCTAGTCTAAGGTTGAAACCATGGGCCTCTAGTTACTAGGGGCCCTTAACCCTGGGATCCTGATCCTTAAGGGTCTCTAGAAAGGCCTAAGGGTCCATATTAGGGGCCCATGCTTCTAAACTTACGAGAGTATAGGGTTTAGGGGTTTAGGGGTTTGGGGTTTAGGGGTTTCTGGTTTAGAGTATAGGGTTTAGGCTCTAAGTCTAAGGGTTTAGGGTT